CTTTCTTTCTTTCTTTCTTTCTTTCTTTCATTTCTTTCTTTCTTTCTTTCTTCTTTCTTCTTTCTTCCTCTTTCTGTTCTTTCTCTGTCTCTCTATCTCTGTCCTTCCTTCCTTCCCTTCCTTCCTTCCTTTCTTTCTTTCTTTCTTTCTTCTTTCTTTCTTTCTTTCTTTCTTCCTTTCTTTCTTTTCTTCTTCCTTTCTTTTCCTTTCTTCCTTCTCTCTTAAAGAAAGAAAGAAAGAAAAGGAGATTTGGGTGGGAACACAGCCAAACCATATCACCCATCAAAGCAGGGCACTCTCTTCCCTCACCTGCTTTACTTTTCCTCAAAGCACTCACCATCCCCTCTGGCATAAATGCCTGGATTTATCCCCAGTCTCCTTCCTGGAACATGAACCCTCGGGGAGGCTCCCAGGCTGTCCTGCTCACACATGGGAGGAGCTCAAAGAGTGTTTGTTGATTGAATCAATGATAGACAAGCTACCTCAGAGGAAGATTTGATGTGACTGGGAGCTCCTTCTCGCCCCTCTCCTTCAGACCTGCTCACAGAGCATGGAGTCTAAATTCTGGCTCTGAATGAGTCTGAGCAACGCCTGAGTGCCCAGCAACCTCAGCTAGGTACAGCAGGTTTCAGTTTGTGGCTTCCACCCTGTGCCAGGCAGATCCCATCCTTGGGAAGTCCCCAGCTGGTCTCCACAGTGTCCAGACACTACGGTTCTCACGAGGCTTTACCCTCCCTGACTTCCACTCATCCAAGGACCTCCAGGTCTTCAAGGACAGCGCAGGCCCCAGCTCTCCAAGAAACAATTTCTTCTGATGACACCAACCCATCCTGATGTTTCCTGACTCCCAGTTCCTATGGACTCGAGGCCTGTTGCAGTCCAGGGCGCGGCTACTGAAGCTCTGGGTCTCACCAAGTAAGAGGTATGACTGTTCATGGGATCGACAGACCCCAGAGTCCAGGGGCCAGGGCGCTCAGATTAGACAGAATCTGGTAAGGTAGGAAGATACTGCCACATACTGGCCAAGGGTGGTGGCTCACACCTGTAATCCCACCAATTTGGGAGGCCGGGGCAGGTGGATCACGAGGTCAAGAGATCGAGACTATCCTGGCCAACATGGTGAAACCCTGTCTCTCTAAAAATACAAAAAATTAGCTGGGTGTGGTGGTGCGTGCCCTGTAGTCCCAGCTACTTGGAAGGCTGAGGCAGGAGGGTCGCTTGAACCCGGGAGTCAGAGGTTGCAGTGAGCCGAGATCGTGCCACTGCACTCCAGGCTGGTGCTAGAGTGAGACTCTAGCTCAAAAAAACAAAAAACCAAAGATTCTACCAGATACTACCTACCGTGTACCCCACGCATATACCTAGTACACAGTAGAGTACACGGTAGGTGCTCACAGATCCCTGTTGATTAACTATTCAGGCTCCATCTCCATAGGTACCACAATCAGTTTTTTTTCGCACATTCCTCTCTTTAGGGTCACAGTATGTGAAAGATCCCCCGATGCATTTTTAAACATTTTATCAAAGTAAGAGATGCATATAGTTGAAGAACGGTATAGAACTGAAGGGCACGGTATGGTGGGAAGTGATGCCTCCATCCATTCCTTACCTCCCAGAAGATGATGCCTTCCTCTTCAATCTTTTAAGGACCCTGTGAGTACACTGGGCCCACCCAGATAATCCAGCACCATCTCCCCATCTCAAAGTCCTCAATCACATCTCCAAAGTCCCTTTTATCACAGAAGGTAAAAGTCATGGGTTCCAGGGATTAGATTTGGGGACCATTATTCGGTCGACCACCTCCGTGTGAGTGAATGCCATTATTTCCTGATAAACCCATCCTTCACGCATCACCTGCTGATTGTCTATTACAAGAAGAATTTCATTCTTACATCTTTACCCCACCTCCTCCCCCCGTCTTCTCACAAGGTTATTAAGACCCTGCAACCATCCTTCCCAGCAGAGCCGGCTCATGTACTATCATTTCATGTCCTTTCTTGGAGGGGATTTTCTCCCACAGTGGAGATGCTTCAGTTTTCTGGCTGTCTTTATCTCTGTCCTCCAGTTGGCTCTTATCATGTTCCTGTCCTTCTCCTGGAACCCTCCCTCTGCAGTCCTCCAACTTTGTCCTCTGGGCACCTCACAACATAGTGGTTGGGGGTTTCAACCACTGAGAGAGACAGACAGAGAGACAGAGAGAGAGAACACAAACACGAGAATACTGAGTGGAGTCCTCTCACCTTTTTGACCCAGCCTTGGCAGTCACACAGTGTCACGCCGGCTGTACTCCTCTTCCAATTCTATTCACAGAGGCCCTGGTACTTTTAAAGGGATGGGGAAACAGACACTATCTCTTAAAGCAGGGGTAATGGTAACATCCTGGAAGAACATGTGAGACCAGAAATGTTACAGCGGGCAACTGGAAATTATCAATCCACCCTACAGCATAATATTCTTTCCCCCCACCCCCCCGAGATGGAGTCTCTTGCTCTGTCGCCCAGGCTGGAGTGCTGTGGCACAATCTTGGCTCACTGCAACCTCCACCTCCCAGGTTCAAGCGATTCTCCTGCCTCAGCCTCACCAGTAGCTGGGATTACAGGGATGCACCACCATGCCCAGCTAATTTTTGTATTTTGTTGTTAGTAGAGATGGGGATTTCACTATGTAGGCTAGGCTGGTCTCAAACTCCTGACCTGAAGTGATCTGCCTGCCTTGGCCTCCCAAAGTGCTGGGATTACAGGTGTGACCCATCGTGCGCGGCCTGGCATTACAGTCTTTTTCTCAAACAAAAATCTGTTGTCTCAGAGAGAGACTGGTGCTAGCAGAATAAAACATTATTTTCAACTCCATCCCACTTGTTTTTCACTGTCTTCCCACGTACTGTATACAACTTTGTCATGAGGCTTTAAGACAACTTTTCTCTCTTGTTGTCTCCACTCCTCCCATTATTTTCATTTTATATGACCTTATCTCTTTTCTTTGCCTACTATTAGAAAAATAGCTTTTAAAATGAAGAATAGTATTTTTTCTTCAAAGTATGCATCCAGAAACAGTTGCATTTCCTGAAAGTCCTTTAATGTTTTGTTTTAACCACCTGAAAAAACATAAGGCGTTTGGGACAGATTTTTGTGTAACCAAAAGGCTGATGTTAGGATGATGGCCAAACTGTAACCATTCCCTGTCACCCCCTTGGCTTGTTGCTCTTGTTTTAAAAATCATTCTTTTGAAAACAAATACTTTTAGGCAATCTAATTACAATATGATATGTAATATTTGGACCAGTTGACGAAAATCAACATTAAATCCAAACCTCATAATATTCAGGCCAAAAGGAGACCTAATGCATTATATTACATGTAGATTTCAAAGTTCTTACACTATTAAAATGGTGAGAAGACAGCAAGGGTTGCCTGCAGGCCACACAGCCCTTCTGCGATGATACCTTACAAGTACCACTGAAGATGTCAAAAGAAGCTGTGAGCCTTCCTGGTGCACGGGCTGCTTGGACACTGTGATGCTTCACTGGCTTGTCTCAGCCCATGTTCACAGAGCTCACTCTTGTCTGGTGCTTGGGGAGCCTCAGCCTCATCAGTGGCCTGTGTGTTCCTCTGCCATGGAGGTTGTACAAATGTGCTTTCCACTCTAGGCCATCAGGTACAGTAGTGCGTGCCACGCACTGAGCAACTCCGGAGCATCGTTCTCATAGGGGTCATCCTAGGTCAGTTTCCTGACAAATAGTAGTATTTATCTCCAGCAATGGGGGCCTTTTCTAGTTCATGCCAAGGTACATGCTGCCTGGAGGGGAAAAAACACTGTTTCTGCAATCAGTTAATTGGGGTATAATCCTGCAACTTTCGTTTGATGACCCTGTGTGTATTAAGTTTGCGAGGGCTGCTGTAACATACAACAGCCTGGCAAACAACGGAAATTAATTTTCTCACAGTTCTGGAAGCTAGAAGTCTGAGATCAAGGTGTCGGCAGAGTTGGCTTTTCCCAAGGACTATCTCCTCGGTTTGTAGATGGCTATCTTTTCCCTGCCTCCTCACATGGTGTTCTCTGTGTATGTCTGTGTCCTAATCTCTTCTTATGACACTAGTCACATTGGATTAGGACCCATCTTTATGACCTAATTTAACCTCATTTATTTCACTCTTATTTGTTAAGAGTCAGAGTCTTGCTCTGTCGCCCAGGCTGGAGTGCAGCGGCATGATCACAGCTCACCGAAGCCTTGAACTACGGGGCTCAAGTGATCCTCCTGCCTCAGCCTGCCAAGTAGCTGGGACTACAGGTGTGCACCACCACGGCCAGCTTCATGTTTCCTTTTAAAGACCCTTTATGCAAATATAGGCAGTCACATTATCAGGTACTGGGGGTTAGGACTTAAACATATGAAGTTTTGGAGAACATATTTCAGCCAATAACACTGTGCCTCAGGGCCCTAATCTTTAACCTAGGGAATATAATGATATTCTTAGAGAAAATCATATCAAAGTGCTTTGTAGACTGCAAAAGTGCTGCACAAATATTGTGGTTACTTCCTGTGTCCTGACAACTTGTGCCTGGATCCCTGATGTGATCATTTAGATCTCGTAAAAATACCAGGTAGAGTCAGCCTCCTGAAGGTGGGAACAGTGGGTAACAGGTGTAGAAGCTGGGGCATGAGGTTGTGTAGAGGTTGTGGCATGCTCTCCTTGCATGAAGGCCCTCTCTCCCCTGCTGCCCCCGCTGTTGGTGCTGTGTTCAGACTCATGGACAGTGAGCCCTACAATGTATCACACCCCTGGGGCTGAGGGCAAGAGGGAAAGGGAACAATGGCTCACACCAAAATGTAAAAGGCCATCCAGGAGTTCTGGTGTATAGGCCCTCCACGTAGCTGGAAATGATGGCCACGATTCCTCAGATGCCTGCCGACTCTTTCTTCCACGTCTTTAGTGGGGGATCGACAAGGTCACTTACCGTAGGGAGTGATTTACTCCGCCTTCCCTGGATCACATCAGGTGATTCTGATCAGGTATCTATGTACTGTTACTCCCTGAGCAAGCATTTGGCAGTACTGGTAGTGGTGGCGACCCAAGATGGATTTGATGTCCTTTGGCACATATGCTCCATTTTCAAGACAACATTTCACAAAACTTAATGGAGAGGCTTTTGCTTTCTGAATCTGCCCTTTTTTCTAGAAGGGTGAGAAAGGAAGGTCAGATCTCATTTTCAGACGATTAGTGACCAGCGCCCTCCTGCAGTGTCCATGCTCCCACCCTGGGGCTTTCCTTTGAAATCAGCAAGAGTCTGTGTAGATTAAGAGATACGACTCAGGAGCAGGTCCAAATAGAAGCGGCTTTCCCATATTAATAATAATGTTTTACAATAATGTCACTCTGGGTGCTTCCTCTATTCCTTGGAGCCACAGATAGTGGATTTATTGACTTGTTTTCCTTTGACTTATGGCTCTTTCTCGTTATTTTCTGAGTGCGGTTTTGCTTTGCTTCCTGGAAAAGGAAATAGAAGTGGTTCTGGTCAATCCTGGGAGAGTAGAGCCTCGTTTTGAAATTTTACTCTGTTGATGACAGGCCCGCTCAGAGCGAAGCATGGCCAGAAGAGCATGTTGGAGTTCCTTGCTCATATCCCTGTGAATGTGGTCACATGTGGCTGTAGGCATTCAGTGGGTTCACGCAGTCTTTGGAACAGAACCCCACAAGGGGCAGAAAATCAACCTTCTAAGGCTTGGGGAGTACTGAACTGGACAAACCAGATTTTAGAGCTTCCTCAGTGACATGCGCCGAGCGGATCCAGTGGCCCCTCTTAGAGTCTCTCCAGGAGAGGGGGACCCTTCTTTCCTTTCTTCCATCTCCACTTCCCTCTCCCTAGGGCCCAGTGCTTTCACTGACCTCCTCTCCCGTTGGAAATTTAGAGGTTACGTGCATTTCATCTATCAGTGAATACAAAGAAGATGATTCTGAATCTCAGAGAACAGCTAAAGTGGAATTTCAGGCATTTCCAGGGAGAGTTTAAATGGTAGGAAGGGCTGGGTTTGCCATTGGTGGCCATTAGTTTGCCTATACTAAGACAGCTTTCTTTTTTGCTGTTGGGTCTGTGACAAACGTCATTCATTTGACATGAAAAGAGTTGGGACCATTTTGGTCTTAGCTGGCTCAGTTAAGTGCATGTGAGGGAGCCCGTTTTTCACGCCTGGCCAGCTCTGTGCTTAAGCGGCCCTGTCGTAGCCAGAGTAGCCTCATTACAGGTGAAGTCCCCCGTAGACCTCCTCCTTCCTCTGAGCCCAGGGCAGTGCCAAGGCCGGGGACTCTGTCTGGCACTGGTGACAGGCTGTCTTGTCCTGAAGACACGAGGTTAGGTTTGGCAGCTGGCTCCTGCACTGAACGTAGCTGAGCCGTTCCCCTCACACCCCAAGTGTGGCACCAGGCTGGTCACTCAGAAGCAGCGAGTGGGGTGTCCTGGTGGGAAAAGCCTGGCTCTGTGCAGCCTCGGGGAAGGTTTTCAGCGCCTTCTGAACCTGTTTCCTCATCTCTAAGGCGGGGACCAGGAAGCCCGCCCCGCAGAGTAGTTGCAGGAAGGAGACATGTATCTGGGAGCAGCTGGCGCGTTCCTGGCATGCGCTGCTCCCATCCGATTTCCCCAGACTTCCTGCTGGAACGTTTTCTCGGGCCTTAAGTTTTCCTGAGAGGACGACGTGGAGAGTGGAGACAAAGATGCTCAAAAGCCGGGAAATCGCAGGCTCGGAAGCCCCCACGCACGCCTCTGAACGCAGCCGCCTCTCGGGGCCGCGACGGGACTAAGCCTGCCGCTTGCAGGCTGCCAGCGGCAGGGGCCGCGAGCAGCCGGCTTAGGCCGCTCCCGCAAAAAGACCCAGCCGCTAGGGTTCCAGGGGTCCGCAGACGCTTCCGAAGGGCCCAAGGCGAGAGAGCCCGGCTGGCTCGACGGCCACGTGACCGTCCGCGTCCTCAGCGCCCACGTGACCGTGCGTCCGCGGCGTCGATTGACTGGGAGCTCCCTGGCCACGCCCCAGGCGCCGGGCCCCGGGCTCCGGGGGGCGGTGCTGCTGCGGTTGCCATGGCGTCCTCCTAGCGCGCAGGCGTGGGCCCAGGGTCGCTTTTCCGGTATTTGCTACAGTCTCTCGGGATAGCTGGTCACCTTTGCTTGCTGAGTTTCGCGCCCTGCGTCCTCTGGTTTTCAGCAACTTGCAGTGCAGCCGTCCTGCATGAGGCCCTCCAGCGAATGCCCTAAAGCTCCGGAGTTGCTCCGGAGGAAAGCAGGCTTGCCCCGAGAGACCACGTCCTTACTGCCCGTGCCGTTGTGGTACCTTGAGGGCACCCTTCTGGGAAGATCCTTGCAGAGGCCATGTCCCCTCTCCACGACATCTAAGCCCAGTCCCAACTTGCTTTTCACGCCTGTCCCCCCGGGAAACATCTACTGGACCTCAGGACAGCCCCTCACCCCCGTGCATTCCCGAGGTGAATCTGCAGCGAAGCCTCTGTGGTGACTCACAGTTGCTAGCATTGGTTATCTTCTTCCTGGCAGAAGGTGGCAGGCTGATGCTGGCCTCGTTCCTGTGTGTCTGACAGATCACAAATGTGAATTCAGATCGTCACAGCTGAGTCATGCTCAGGATTTCCATGAGCCCTGCTGGGGTGGCCAGCTGAGCTTCCTTCCCCACGGCCCCCTCCAGCTCTGCAGCACCAGGCACCAGTGTGACTCATGGGGGCCTGTGGAAGCCGGGGCTGCTCAGTGGGGCTGAGTCTAGGAGGGGGAGAGAGAAAGGGAGCCCAGCAACAATTACAGCGCAAACGCCGCAGCTGCCACCACCGAGTGCTTCCAGTTGGGAACTGGTTTGTGAAATTCATTACCCTATGAGATGAGTTTTATCTCTGTTTCACTCCAGAGGATTCTGAAGCTCAGGAGGTTGTGAATGACTCCGGGAAGCACAGCTGGTAGGTGGCAGAGTTGAAATTTGAATCCACGTCATTCTCACCCAGGAGTTCAGGCTTTTTCCCAGCCCAGCCTTTCCACTCGACCTCAATTAGCACAGTCAGATGCTGGGTGCCAAAGCTATTTACTTTGCTTGTGGGAGTCCAGGAGCTGGCTCCTAATGGCTCCGTGTGAAATGGTCTTTTAGGCAAAGGAGACTAGATAAATGTGGAGGAGAGGGAAAGTGTTTATGCACGAAGACGCTACGCAACAGGCTTATTCCAGTGCACTTCCAAACCCAGGCGTGGTGTTCTTCCTTCTTGCGCCTTACTTTTACATCCCCAGTCGCTGCTTGGCATCACCTGGTTGTTCTTTGTTCACCTGAAGCTCAGCATTTCAGGCTGAATACTTGATTTTCTCTGCCACATCTGTCTGCCCTGAGTGAGTTAGTGTCAGTGGCCATGTGACCATGCGTGTCCGCAGCGTCCTCCCCCCATCCTGATATTCTTGCAGGCAGTCAGGCTTTGAAAACCAGGTTGTCTCTTGTTAACTTAAAAATCACACAGTCTGGCAGGGTGCGGTGGCTCAAGCCTGTAATCCCAGCACTTTGGGAGGCCGAGATGGGTGGATCACGAGGTCAGGAGATCGACACTATCCTAACACGGTGAAACCCCGTCTCTACTAAAAAATACGAAAAACTAGCCGGGCGAGGTGGCGAGCGCCTGTAGTCCCAGCTACTCGGGAGGCTGAGGCAGGAGAATGGCGTGAACCTGGGAGGCGGAGCTTGCAGTGAGCTGAGATCCGGCCACTGCACTCCAGCCTGGGCGACAAAGCGAGACTCCATCTCCAAAAAAAAAAAAAAAAAAAAATCACACAGTCTATAAATTTGGACGAGGAGACCTTCCTTCCTTCCTTCCTTCCTTCCCTTTTCTTTTCTTTTTTTCTTTTCTTTTCTTCTTTTCTTTTTGACAGAGTCTTGCTCTGTCGACCAGGCTGGAGTGCAGTGGCATGATCTCGGCCCACTGCAACCTCTGTCTCCTGGGTTCCAGCAATTCTCGTGCCTCAGCCTCCCAAGTAGCTAGGATTACAGGCACCTGCCACCATGCCTGGCTAATTTTTGTATTTTAGTAGAGACAGGGTTTCACATTTTTTTTTTTTTTTTTTTCCAAATAGAGGCAGTGTTACCGGTGGAGGGTGTCCAGGTTCTTGGCATCTTGTACAAAGAATTGGGCAAAACCCACAAACACAGCAAGGAAAGAACGAAGCAACAAAAGCAGAGATTTATTGAAAACGAAAGTACACTCCACAAGATGGGATCAGACCTGAGCATAGGGACTCAAGAGCCTGGTTACACAATTTTCTGGGGTTTAAATGCCCTCTAGAGGTTTCCCATTGGCCACTTGCTCTACACCGCATGCAAATGAAGTAGTGGCCTGCAGTCTGTCTGATTGCAGAGGCTGAAGTGAAGTTGCAAAGGTTACACCCTATGCAAATGTCTGATTGGTTGTGGAAAGCAATCCAGAGGCTAAAGTGAAGTTACAAACTTACACTTCTGTGCAAACAAAGACTTAGCCTGCAATCAGTCTGACTGGATGTAGAAAATGGGAAGGCAAGGAAGGTTTGCCTCTGGTCCTTTTGTTACTTAGTTGTGAAAAGTTGGGGTTTTCCTTTTGATTTAGTTCTAGAAGTCAACATGAATTGGCCTTAGGTTTCCTGCTTCTTGACCCCATTCTCCTGCCTCAACAGGGTCTTACTATGTTGACTAGGTTGGTCTTGAACTCTTGGCCTCAAGCAGTCCTCCTGTCTTGGCCTCCCAAAGTGCTAGGATTACAGGCATGAGCCCCCACACCTGCCGAGGAGACTTTCTTTCTTATAAGGGGTTACGGCCTGCAGGGTGGCCATCCTGTAGGCTGGGAAGAGCCTCCATCAAAGACCAGAGACAGGCTCTCTGGGGGAAAAAGGGGTAAGTCAGGAATTTAAGTTGAACATGTTGACCAAATGTACATATTCAACAGGTTATCAGAGGAGATGTGAGTATTCATGAAGGGGGTCCTGACATGCATATTGAACAAACATGCATGTAACATACAACCCATGTTCACTTGGGGTGGAAAATAATATTTGAGTGTATTACAATTAGGCCCTATAGGTCAAAAGTTCTTTTTAGGACACAAAAGCACTCAAGTATGCAGCCTCTGTAAACTGGCTAGGACTAGTTCATGACTGGATTGGTGGTGTCTCATCTAGAGAAAGTTACTGACATCAGTATCTTGTACAATCAAAGCTGTAGTTATGGCTGGGCCCTCTGCCTTATCTGCATGAGCTGCAAATTGTTTTAATATTGCTTATCCTGAGACCAGTGCTTATTTAAATGGTAGGGAAAAAGAAAAACCCTGTGGCTGCTGAACAGCACTTATTCTTTAAGCATAGGGGTGAGTAACTCAACCGTTCCTTGGTGTAAGGAACATGGCTGTGATTTGATCAAGGATAGGCTGAGGTGGGATGTTTACATCCTGCGTGACTCAGCGAGTTTAGAGCGCAGGCGTATAACTCCACTTGTTATCACATCCATGGAGCCATAACATGGGAAGGCCATCCCTTGGCATTAAGCCACTATTGTCTGTGAAAGATATAATTGCCCTGCCGACACTGTACAGGCGCTGGCACCCTGAGAAAGAGAGTCACAGCTGTCCATCTTTGCAGATGGACAGAGGGGAGCCAGGACACCGCTTGGCTCACTGGTGCCCAGAGAGAGACAGAGTTAAGCTGCCAACCTTGAAGGCAAGGGAGAACTGGCTGCACAGCTGTGTGTGTGGGAGCCACCAGACTAAGCAGCTGAGACAGGGCGGACAGCGTGAGAAAGCTGTTGATGAAAGCTGCTGCTGAATAAAACCATATTCACCTGCCTACGGCCCCATGACTGTTCTTTCTGCTCATCTACCCACTCCCTTTGAACCTCAGCATGGGCTGGAACCTGACCCCAAGCGTGACATTTGGCGTAGTCATGAACCTGACACCTGGCGTGGCCATAGGTCTTATTTATAGTTTGATATCTTATTGTCATAGAATCTGTTGTCAGTTTTATGAGCTCTATTTTAGCATTAATGCTCATCAGCTGTGTCTAAACTGCAACATGGAAGGCGTTAATGAGGCATGTCTGACCGCCCATCTTGTCATGGCTGGGAACTCAATTTTTAAGGTTTTTCAGGGTTCCCTTTGGCCCAGAGAGGGCTCGTTTAATTTGTGAGGGGCACTTAGGATTTTATTTTTAGTTTACACTCTGAAGCTCCTGTTCACATCCAATTGTATGAAAACAGGCTTTTCATGTATTTCGTCCCGTAATTTTTTAAAATTTTATATTTTTGCAGCAGAAGAGCTCCTCTGGTTCTCCATCAAGGCCAGAAGCATAATTTGATGACAGCATTTTTTTTTTTGAGACAGAGTCTTGCTCTGTCACCCAGGCTGGAGGGCAGTGGCATGATCTCGGCTCACGGCAACCTCCACCTCCCAGGTTCAAGTGATTCTCCTGCCTCAGCCTCCCGAGTAGCTGGGATTACAGGTGCACGCTGCCACTCTCAGCTAATTTTTTTGTATTTTAGTAGAGACGGGGTTTCACCGTGTTCCCCAGGCTGGTCTTGAACTCCTGAGCTCAAGCAATCCACCCACTTCGGCTTCCCAAAGTACTAGGATTACAGGTGTGAGCCACCGTACTCAACCGATGACAGCATTCTTTTCGATCATTTTCTTTTCTGCTGTTCAGACACTGCTAATGGCTTGTAGTTTCCTGTGATACTAATGAGATGGGCTAGTTTATTTGTGTTTTGTTCTCTTTTTTCTGTCTCCTCCCCGGGCCCATTCGGAGCAGATAGCTGTACTCTTCACATGTCCTTGCTTCAAGAAACTGGTTGAAGACCACCCTTCCTCCAGCCTTGCGTGAGTCTGAACTTGTTGAAGAGACTTTGCCACAAGTGTAGTGGTGGGGGAGGGGGAAAGGAGTGCTTTTGAGGTCTGAGAAGGAGAAGAAGATATTTTAGAACCGACTCTCACACCTCCTGCCTCCCAGCAGGGCCTTGAGGGTGTGGTGAGACACCAGGACCACACAGCCTTGGGATCAAAGCTGTGCCTGATGTGATACAGGTCTCCGTAAAGGTTTGCCAAACAAGCAAGTTAGTGCTTACAATTTCCCATGACTGTCACTCAGCTTGCCTGTGCCTAAATAACTTGCCCATCGCTTAAGAGAGAAACCCCATAAATGTCCTTTGATCCATTTATGCCCCAAGACTGTTGTCATTGTCATTGTCGTTATTGTCATGTTCTCAAATATTTTTGCCTGAAGAGTTTTCCTGTCTGAGGACTTTTCACACGAAGAGGAATTGCTTCTCATTCTTCCTGTTGAAATTACTCTCAAATCTTTTCTGACAGAGTTGCAAACACACTGACAGCTCCCGAATGATCTGATACAGGATCCTTAATAGGCACGGAAGTGTTCACCAGACAGAGAGGTCCTGCCCTTGCCGATCTGAGCTGGTTCTGTGTTAGAGACTCCGTGGGCGTCTGTTTGACAGGATCTGCCAGGAGCAGCAGAATAACGTTCCTGATCTGGAAGAGCAAATCTCAAATATTTTGCACATTTGCAGGTATTTTAAAACAGTTTCTGTAAGATGCCAACATTACCTTTCCAGTGTTTTGAAGTTCTCCAATGTTTACTGAGAAGGGCTCAGTTGTGTTTATACTGAATTTCAGGTGGGTTTCTTGACCACACCTCTCACTTCATCACCAGCTTTGCTCTGAGCCCCTAACTGTACTCCCACTGAGGGTCCCACAGATTCAGGTGATTGGTGCCCTTCAGGTTTCATTTGTGAGGACCCATTCTTCTTCCTGGGACTTTGGCTTGTGTCTTTCTTCTGCCAAACCAAATGTGCCATTTCCTCTAAGATTCTGTTCAAAACTCTCTCTTCTCAGGAACGTTTCCTGAAAACCCGACTCCCTATGCTGAATTTTCCTTATGAGCCTTCCCTGTGCCCTTGGTAAAATGAAGTTTGACAAACACAACTCTGTGACAATGAACATTTGCATTCATATAACTTTTCTCTTCTCTTGAATCATTTGCTTAATCTCCCAGGAGTGAATTTTCTGGATGAAAGCATTTAGACTTTTTTTTTTTTTCTTTTTGAGATAAGGTCTTGTTCTGTCACCCAGGCTGGAGTGCAGTGGCACGATCACAACTCACTACAGCCTTGACCTCCGGCCTCAAGCAGTCCTCCCGCCTCAGCCTCCCAAGTAGCTGGGACTACAGGCACACACCACCACACCCAGCTTATTATTGTATTTTTTTGTAGAGACAGGGTTTCCCCATATTGCCCAGGCTGGTCTTGAACTTCTGGGCTCAAGTGATCTGCCTGATGCAGCCTCCCAAAGTGCTAGGATTACAGGCATGAGCCACCCTGCCTGGTCGCATTTAGACATTTTTATGGCTGATTGAATTCATTCATTCAAAAAGTATTTGTTGAGCATCTGTAGGATGCCAAGACTTTGCTGGTAGCTAGGGTGTGACAGTGACTCACAGTGACCTCTTATCCTTCCTAGAACCTACCCCTAGGAGTGGGAGGAGACCACAACCAAAGAAGCAAATGGAGACACAGAATATCAGATGAACAGCAGCTACACAGGCAAACAGAGCAGTGCAGCAGGATTGGAGGTGCTTGTGGTGAGAGGAGGCAGGGAGTTGCTTTTTACATGGGGAGATCAGGGAAGGCCTCAGTGGGTAGGTGATATTTGAAGAGAGAGAGAGACCTGGGAGAGGAAAGAGAGTGAGCCCTGTTGATATATAAGGGTAGAATGACTCTGGCAGACGGTTGGTGCAAAGGTCTTGTAGCAGAAAACACCTTTTTGGACTTCCATTGTGAATATCTTGGGACACTCAATGGTGTCCCACAGATCTCTGAAACTTTGTTTGTTTATTTATTTATTTAGAGACAGGGTCTTGCTCTGTTGCCCAGGCTGGAGTGCAGTGGTACAATCATGGTTCACTGCAGCCTCAAACTCTTGGGATCAAGTGATCCTCCCACCTCAGTCTCCTGAGTAACTGGGACCACAGTTGCACACCACCGTGCTCAGCTAATTTCTTATTTTTTGTAGATATGATGTCTATGCTTTGTTGTCTAGGCTGGTCTCAAACTCTTGGGGTCAAGCAATCCTCCCTCCTTGGTCTTCTAAAGTGCTGGGATTAAAGGTATGAGCCACTGGCCAATAAATCATTAAAAAAAATCCTTTTTCCCCATTCTGTTATGGACTGAATGTTTGTGACCCAACCCCCAAATTCATGTGTTGAAACCCCAATCCCTAATGTGGTGGCATTTGGAGGCGGGTCTTTGGGAGGTAATTGGGTTTGAATGAAGTCTTGAGGTGGAGCCTGTGAAGGGACTGGTGCTCTTGTAAGGAGATGAAGGGACCAGAGCGCTCTCTGCCATGTGAGGATATGGCAAGGAAGCAGCTATCCGCAAGCTTGGGACCGAAGCTAAGAAAGGACCATGCTGCCATCCTGACCTCAGACTTTGAGCCTCCAGAACAGTGAGAAATACAGAGTTATTGTTGAAGCCACCCTGTCTGTGGCATTCTGTTCTAGCAGCTGGAACTGACTAAGACAGCTTGCCTTCTTCCACCTGGATAATCTCAGTGGACCTACCTTCAAATCTGCTGTTGAGCCACTGGTGATTTTTTCATTACGGTTACTGTACCTTTCAGCTCCAGAATTTATAGATATATATTTTGATAATTTCTTAATTTCTGTCTCTTTATTCATGTTCTGTATTTGGTGGGGCATGGGTCTCGTACTTTATTTCTTTAGATTGGGCTTTCTTTAATTCTTTGAATGTACAATTGTCCTTTGGTATCTGTGGGGGATTGGTTCCAGGACCCCTGGGGATACCAAAATCTGTAGATGCTCTAAGTCCGATAGTTGACCCTCTGTATCTGTGGATTCAACTGATCATGGATTGAAAATTGCAATGTGGGAATGTGGATAGGAGGGCTGACCATACGGTATTTGTAATCACTGACTTGACGTCTTTATATAGTCAGTTCAACATGTGGGCCTCCTCAGGGACAGTTTCTATCTGTCTTTTTCCCCCCCATGTATGGGCCATATTTCATGAATCTTTTTATGTCTCCTTGTTTTTGCTGTTGAAGACTGGACATATGAAATAACATAATGTGGTTACTCTGGAAATCACATCTCCCCAGGCTTTGTTGTTTCTGCTGTTTATTAAATAACTTCCCTGGATAAAGGGTGTAAAGTCTATGTTCTTTGTCACAGATGACTACGGGGAGTTTCTGGGAACTTCCAGACAGGTTAGACAACGATGATCTCTAAGAGTAGGACTTTCAGGGAGTTTCACTCCCTGGCTTCCCTGTCCAGCAGCTGCCAGCTTTCTGCGTTTACAGCTGCTGTGGAAGAAGGAGATGGCAACAGGGCAAGGTAAAATGCTGCGCAGCTCGCAGTTCTCTCTGAGATTCAGTCATTTTTCTTGAATAAATCTCCAGGAATTGTTGCAAGCCTGTAGTTAATTTCCAGAGTTCTGAAAAGTTTATTTTGACAATTTTCCATCATTTTCAGCCAGAGCCAATTTCACCATTCACTTGAAACTTGCATTTATTTTGCTTCCATCCAGATTTGCAAAACTCCTTGCTCACTGTTCACTAGATCCCGTCTTGATTCAACTCACCTGCACGCTTTCAGACCCCTCTTGGTCTTTGCCCCTCTGTGGTAACTATTGCATTTTTAGAACACTGGACTTAATTCCCAAGCCCTTCTTCACATCCAGGCATTCTACTAAGAAACAGGTCCCCATGACCCTGAGTCCCTCTTGCTTCACCTTTGTCATATCCTGCATTTCTGGCCCTGACTCCTTCTTAGCTCAGCTCTACAAAGAACCTTAGAGAACATTTGGAACAGTGGCGCTCAAACTTGAGCAAGCTTCAGATTTCTCTGGAGGACGCGTTACAGATGGCTGGGTCCCATCCCCAGGCACTCGAAGTGCCTGATCTAGTTGCCTGTGATGAGGCCTGGGAATCTGCATTTCTAACAAGTTCCCGGGTGCTGCTGGCTCAAGGACCCCACTTGGAGAACCAGAGCGCTAAGGGTCCTCAGTGGCCCAGCAGGACCCCTGCAGACGCCTAAGGCAGATCAGTGCTCAGTGGCTAGTGGCTAGGGGTGCAGACTGGAGCTGGCCTGCCTGGGCTCAAATTCTGACCTGGGGCTAGTGACTGAAACTCTCCACTCAGTGTCCCCATCTGCAATAGGGATAGTGACGAGGTTCTAGGGGTGAAGAGTAAGAGAGTGTCTGGAAAGCACTGAGAGCAGGCCCAGCTCATTATGTGGGCCACATCGGTGCAGCCTGTTGTCATTCTTGTTCATTGTTTGGGCCACTTCGGTGCAGCCTGTTGTCATTCTTGTTCATTATGTGGGCCGCATCCATGCAGCCTATTGTCCTTCTTGTTTTACTCACAGGGAAAGAGAAATTTAGGGGGTGAAAATTAGGCCCAAGCTGGCCGGAAGCCCATCAGAGCCTCGAATCCTTATCTTCTCACTCTGGTGGCGTTACCCTTCCACTCTCCAGGCCACTTCCTTTTAGTCTTTTGGTCACGTAGCTGCTTTCATCAGCCCCTGAGGAAATGTGGGATCCATCTGGGCGAACACGGAAGATGTCTGCAGACGCCAGGCTTCACCCAGCGCATTCACTGGGAAGAAAGAGCACAGGGTGGGAGTTCGCCACCAGCTCTTGCATTGCCTGCGTTTCTCAGGGCCTTTGTTTCCTTGTGTGGGGCTAACAGTAATGCCTACCTCTGAGGTCTGTGGAAGGGTTACATTTGACGAAATATGATCAAGCCCCTAGCAAAGCCTAAGGCACAGAGTCCGCCATTTGTAGAGCCTCGTTGTCGTCACAGCTGACCCAGGCATCCTCTGGTCTCCTAGGATTAGGCCAGGTTTCCTTATCTCCGTAAGAAGTCTTCTGGTGCATGGGCCCAGCTGTCAAAACAGATGGTTTTGCTGTTTTCTTTATTCATGCAAATTATTAAAAATAAATGATTCCAGGAGTGACCGCATGGCAGCGTGGCAGCTCTGCCGTTCTGCCAGGGTCTGGGTGTCCCCAGCTGTCCCTGCCTCATGACATCTTCTCCCCTCTGCGCCCCCATTACCCTTTGATACCCGTCACATTTTCTCACATTTACCACAACACAACTCACATTTTCTCTATTATTTTATACCATTCCTGTTAGTTTTAATCCTGTGGTCCTATATTTAAATTTTTTTCTGATTTTTGGACACCACTTTGCCCAAAGCCCTGCCCTCTGGTTTTCATGAGTAACAGTGAAACCAGAGAGAAAAACTTGAGAAAACTGAAAAAATTCTTCCCTTCGAACCACACTTTTAGGGAAAAAAGACAAAGCATACAAACAAAAAAAGCTAATAAAAACTAAGAGACATTGTTTATTTGAAGACCTTTGAGGGCCTGTGTTGACACCACCTCCACCTCACTGTCACCAGGAACTGTGACTGATGCCACTGAAACAGGTCCAGGACTTTGCATGCAGGTGTATTTAGGTTCATGGGGTCCAAAACGTATGACTCTGGGGGTCTACTTTAATTTAATAATATAAAACTATGAATATGGAGTTAGTTATAAAAGTGATTATTTATTTAGAAGAGAAACCAATCACCATCAATTATAAATTTAATAACACACACGTAAAAGGATCCAGAAAAGTAACCTAGTATTTTATTCATATTAACTAACTATATATTTTTTGGGGGGGGCACCTATTCTTTGCTCTCCTCTTCATTTGACAAAATTTTTAAAATTTTCTAAAAAGGAGAATGGATTGGTAATCTGGTCTTTCCTCTGGCATCTGGGATCAACATTTATTTATTATTGACAGGTGAGACATTATTTATTTATTTATTTTAGCCTCACAGCTCATTATTGGTAATGATGTCATGCAAAGTTTTAGAATTGTTGTTAAAATTGGGAAGACCTCTGTCAAGTTTCTTTCACACATGGGCTTTGAGAGTTCAAGGCATTTCAGTTGTCTTGACTATGCTTAAGTAGTCTTTGAACCGACATTTCCTCATTATCCAGATGGTCATGAATGCCCATATTATGAGTTTTTCATAATCAGTGTCAGTATTCAGTGCCACAAAAGCAAGAAATTGGAATCTTATTTCAATGTGTTCCTATGATTCACTTTTTTTTTTTTTTTCCAGACAGAGTCTTGTGTTGTTGCCCAGGCTGGAGTACAGTGGTGTGAACGTGGCTCACTGTGGCTTCAACTACCCAGGCTCAAGCAATCCTTCCACCTCAGCCTCCCATGTAGCTGGGACTACAGGTGAATACCACTAGCATACCCAGCTGCTTTTTTGATTTCTTTTAGAGACAGGGGTCTCACTATGTTGGCCAAGCTGGTCTCAAACTCCTGGGCTCAGCAATCCTCTTGCTTTAGCCTCCTAAAGTGCTGGGATTACAGGAGTGAACCACTGTGCCTAGCCCACTTCTTATTATTAATTGGATATCAAATCATTCAAGAAACTATTTATTATTTCTATTAGAAATTTATCTTCCTGTTAATGATTTACTGATTTTGATGTAAACTTTTTTGTTATTAAAGTTCCTTTTTCAATATAGAAATAATTTCTGTTGTTTAATTATTCATCATTATAGCTTTTAAAATATTCTATTATTTTCTTTTAGCCTTTTAACAAATTTTAAACTTTCAAAAAAGGTACTTTTTATGCATGTCTACATAAAGAGTCTGTAATTTCTCCCTTGTTTTATTGAAATATTCCAAAACATCTTTTCAAATCACAGTTAAATTAACATATTCAAGCTTCATCAACATTTCTAGTACTTTTTTTGGCATTCCTGTTGTGTTTGGGTTTCTCTCTCACTCTGTCATGCAGGCTGGAGTGCAGTGGTGCAATCATAATTTAGTGTAGCT